AGGTAAATAAAGATCAACATAGGCAGGGGGATTGGGGCGCAAGGAAAAGGCATTTACTTGCACAAGAAGAAGAAAATGAATAACAGTAGGAAAGAATATATATTATATATAATATCATTTATTTCCGTCATTACACACGGGATGCCGTCATTACACACGGGATGCTTGTACGCTCGTCTACGGACTTTGCACGTTATTAGACCCTAGTAGAAGTTGAAAAGTTACAAATTCTCCCTGCTTCAACTCCGAAAAAAGTCGGAAATAAATAAACAAACAATTTTTTACTCGGTTCATGCAAAAATTCAAATTTCAGACGTACAACTACACGAAAAGCAAAATTTGCATAGTTTTTGAAATTAAATAAAAATATGTTATATATAATTTTAAAATGATTAAATTAAAAATAATAACATATATTTATGCTTCAAAATGAATTTGATATATTTGCTTTTCTTTTGGGGTGGGTAATTTAAAAATGAAATATTTTCTTTACTATAGCTAATGTAAAATTAAGTTCTTTTAATTTCATTTCAATAAATTTAAAATAAAATACTATTTATTTTGTAGTATTAAATTTAAAATAAAAAGTAAATATTTTTTTTTATAAAAAAATTATGTGAATAAATCGTCTATAAAAATACACCTTTCTTATCTTAAAATTATAAAATCATATACCTATTGAACTGTTGTTAAATAAATGTAGATAAATAAAATACTCATGGGGAAAATAGAGAGAAATGGCACAACCCATCCAAATTATGAGAAAAAATGGAGATGCTAGAAATGCGTTTAAATTGGGTATAGAGAACCGAAGTTGGGAAACCGAACTCATTGCTCCAAACACAAATTCCAATTTAGAAGGCAAATCGACCCAAAACTAAAACCATATATTTTGCAACACATCGTTTATTGATGAGTCAAGTTAGTGATATTTGACATAATTTTTCTTTTTCTTTTCCAAATACTTTTAAGATCAGGCTAGGGACAAGAAGAAGGTTCAAGTCAAACACGTTGTTCTGTCCAACTCGCGTTCTTCTCTTGTGACCCATGCCTATTTGGAACGGTATTTCACGGACTCGCTCGGATTTCTTTTTAACTCCTTGCTCTCTTGTTCTCTCGCACCGGCCACTACAAACCCAAGATGCAGTCGCTCAACTTTTTTACCAGGACAGGTTTATTCGGCTGAGTCCGACGCAGGGATTCGAGCCCAGCGCTGAGCTTCGATGATGGAATGAAGGTCTTTATGCCTACTGAAATCTTCAAAAACAAATTCGCTGTCCATTTTGTAACGAGTGGATTTCTTAATTTCTCTTTTGTTTTCTCGTCCCTTTTTTGTGCATAATCAGCAAAGTTACGGAGCCTTTTTAATCGTTGATTCTGTGGTTGGATTTTGCTTGTCATTCCTTTATGATGACTCAGATGTGCTAATATTGTGGCCAGTTTTTGCCTGTCATTCTTGATTGGCTTACCTGAATCTCTACTTCGTATGTCTTTTATCTATAATTTTGATTCTCATTTAGCAATACCAAAACTGAGCTCTGCTCTCCGAGTCTTATCTGTGGCATATAGAAATGATATGAAATTTAATTTCGAAAGAATTCCAGAGGGGAGAGGGAAACCAAATCAGGGATTCGGTACTTCAAATTGATTTGAAACCAGGATCTTACACGTGACCCAGTGATGACCAAAAGAAGTATAGACGTCTCCAAGAATGAGCGAAATGATGTTCTGGAAGCTTTTAATCCTGCAATTTCTAAGTTTCTTGCGCAACTTTCTCAGAAGGTTCAAAATTCTATCAAGGTTGGTCATCTTAATTTCATTTGGAATGAATACTTTTAAAAACTTTTGTCTGTTGAATACAAATCGAGAGAGAATGAACATTTTATTATCACTAAACCTGTAAATTCTAGACTGGATTGAAATTTAATTTTGAAAAAATATTTTACATGATTTTATTTTATTTATTTATTTATTTCTGGTTGCAGCCTCAGCTTAAGGGACTAGCAAGTGATGGTCAGAAATTAACGTCAATGAACCCGTCCACAAAAGGGGAGAAGAAGGGGTCTTCTTCATCCTGGGAGTTTGATGTGGAGAAGCAACTTCAGGCATGGAGGGAGAACCCTTCATGGACGGATAAGCCTCCACAAATAAAGGTGCTTAATATCAGGATAGAAGGACGTGCTTTCCATTGTAGACCTGATGTTCATTCCTGTTGTGAACTTGGTGTTATAAATTTAAAAATGGCCTTGCAAGATCCCCCCCATTCATTTCATGAAGTGCACTGTCGATCAAGTGTTATGTGTGATGAATCTAAAATTAACATGGGCAAGCTTAAGCTCTCACTCTGGTTCAGTTCGGATTTCGTTAAATTGACCTGACCATTTCCATTTCATTGATCGAGTTTAAATGAGGCTCTTTGCAGGTTAGTGTACCAAAAGATACCCTTAGCAAACTCGATGTAAAGGTTGATGTTGGTTTGCCTCCGGATGCTGTCTATAATATTGTGACAGACCCTGATAACAAGAGAGTTTTCAAGAATATTAAAGTAAGTTACACATTTTCATTTACGATTCCATTCAATATTTTATTGATTGTCAGAATCAAACATTTGTACCACTCTTCTTTATTGGTTATCAAAACAAATCAATGATGTCATGGAAGTGAGGGGGGAACTATGGTCATTCATGTAGTCCTTCTAAATCCACATGCTTAACTTTGGCGCTGAGGTACATCTTTCGCAGTGTTCGAATCTTGGCTGGGTTTGGATGGGGAAAATAAATTAAATTCGAAAGCAGTTTGGAAGATGTAGTATTTTGTAAACTTGCTGAAAATTGTTAGTTTTTTTCCAAGTCTTTTAAAATGATAATTTCATCATGTGTTGTTTGTTTATTATAATTACCTTATTTCATTAATTCTTCTTCTGTAATATTTAAATTTTAGTGTAGTGCTTCCCATCAAAACTTGTAAATAAATTTTAGACTACATTATTTATAAACCACAAAACAAAAGAAATACAAGCTATAGTCTAGAGGCTTTTGATGGACACTCCAACAGAAAGTGTATGCCACACAAAATCACAAAACTATTTTTGGAATTCCTCAAACCTCTGTTTTCTGTCTATCCAGATACGTGCCGAAATACATATAAAATCAGCTATCGTTATGCATCCTGTTGTAGCTATACCATCTGCTGAGTTTAGAAAATTAATGTCTGTTTTAGGAGGTGATATCCAGAAGGGTTTTGATTGATGAAGGATCGAGACAAGTGGTTGAGCTGGAGCAAGCAGCTTTGTGGAGATTTCTTTGGTGGTCAGGGACCATTGCAGTTCACGTTCTAGTAGATCAAAACAGAGCAGATCACTCGGTAAGCACTTGGCACTTTCTTTTGCGCGCTACCTTTCAGTAGAATAAACAGACATTTCTAGGATATTTTGTAGGAAGCAAGCAGATTCTCAGTTTAGCGCAAGTAGGAAATGATATATGTATTTACTTTCAGTTCTTTATTTGAATATTTGCTTGTTCAATATGGTCATATCTTGTGACTTGGATGATGATTATCTGCCTCGCAATGAAAGATTGATGAAAAGGAAGTTTCTTGTTTCTTATGATCAATTCAATGATCTGGTTAGATGAAATTCAAGCAACTGAAGGCTGGATTTATGAAGAGATTTGAAGGCCGGTGGAGAGTAGAGCCTCTATTTGTTGATGAAGGAATGTGCATTCCGACAAAACCAAAGAATTTGGAAGATTGTAATGCTTGCACAAAGGGCAAAGGAAGAATCGGGTCAAGGGTGAGCCTGGAACAGCTTATCGAGCCGGCCATTGTTCCACCACCGCCCATCTCCTGGTATCTACGTGGAATTACCACGAGGACAACGGAGATGCTCATTCTTGATCTCCTTGCTGAAGCCGAAAGGATAAGGGGAGATGTGAAAGATGAAGTTACAAACAAGGAGCTGCAAATTTCTCAGAGAATATGTGATAGCAACTCGTTAGATAGCGTTCTTGATATTAAACAAAGATGGGCCATCCGTAGGAGAAATGCGAAACAACGTGGTAGGACTAGGAGCTTCCTTGCTGCCAAATGAATAATCCTTTTTAAACCTATATTATGTATTACACTCTCATTTTCTTTGTTCTCTCTCCAGCTAATGAGATGACAATCTTGAATTTGCATCATATTCTGCATAGTCTGAATTTACAGCCTCTGGACAGGGAGCTTGTGCTGTGAATGATGAAACCGTTTCTTTTCAGATTACTGTTCAATTTGATTAGGTAAATAGAAGAATAACAAATTTCAGAGTTGTCCGAAAAGAACCACCAGTTACTTTTACCAAATTGAACAGTACATTGTTTTGGAACAATATTGTTAATGTATTTTTCTTTCTAAAACAAAAAAGGTTTCCGAAACTTTTTTTAATTATGGCTTTCTTTTCGTTGGAAAAATAAAAACAATTATTGCTTGCTCGGCCAAATTAATAAAAATCAACTTTTCTCTTCATAAACCTTCTAGAACGTTCGTCCAAGTAGCTATGTGTTACGAACTTGTTGTACGCATGCACATGCCTAATTCCAATACAACTTTCATGATGTTCAATTTTTTTAATTATATTTTCTAGGAATATGGCTCTTAAATAAAATCATGTCTAAATGTTCTAGAATGCAGTGTCGGAGGAAGGAACTCTGTTCATCCTCTTTTTTCTTTTTTTCAAAAATCCCGCCACATTTTCTAAAATCCTCAAACTGAGGCTAGAGGCTTGTATATAGTTCTCCGCCACACTATTTTAGCGGGCAAAGTGGAGGACAAAGTGAGAGTGAGTGGAGCACAATAGGAGCGTGGGAGTTGGATTGGTATTCTCTCAATGCAACCATGGCATTTGCTTCTCTTATAGACCTCTTTCTTCAGCTAAGTTTAATCTTACGGGACTGACGCCTATTTTTTGTTTTTCCCGAGATAACCAACACACGAGATTTTGAAGAAACCTCTTCTTGAACTTCTTAGTGCAGCTAATTTCTTCGGCAAGACGGAGATGCATCTGCTCCGACCGACTATGCAGACTCTCAGTTCTTCTGTAATGATCTCTCGCGCTCTTTCTCGTCGGCGATTGTTGAAATATTGGTAATCTCTCAAGTCCTTTTCGATTTTGGTTTATCAAACACTTTGTCGAGTCTGTTCTCATTCAGTTACGTTTGATCCAGAGTTTGAATGAAGCACCGAAGCTTTAAAAGTTACGAATAATCTTCATATCAGAGTAATATCCTCAATTTTTTTTAATGTAGTTCCAGATACCGGCCTTGCAAGCTGCCTAGAGGAGTTTTAATTGATGCTCCACTAGCACTCTGGCAGCGCTTGATGAATTGTAAATTGCTTTGATTAATGCCTCGACGTTATTTAATTACTATTCGTATTATCATTTTATTGATTCCTTAGCCTGCGTTACATAAGTTACATTTAATGCAGTAGCTCGTGTATAACAGTAGGCATCTTTATTGTTTTCCTGGGCATGCGTAATTTTTCTTACACGGTTAACTTCCTTCTTACCTATACGGCAACGCATGCATAGATTGTTGTACAAACGATTCCTTATATTTTCTCCTTAATCAGATAAGCTAAGCTAAGGATTTCCGCAAACAGCAAGTCTGCCATCATCCTCTCAAAAGCTGCATTCAGCAGGCCGTACTTCATCATATTATTATTTGTTTGATGTAGTTATCTCTGTTATATCCCTCTTTAATTGAAAATTCATTCAAGTACTTTCCACTCGAGTCAGACTACCGTACCATTGTTACGTGGATTAATTCATTTCTGGTATTTTATGCAGATGAACTTGTTTCTGGTATTAATGGCCCGGGGAGGATTGTAATAAGATCTGCATCAACACCTCTTAGGAAGAGTCAGTAGCTGTATCCTAGGGTAAGAGATCCCTTCATAATCATTCATCAACACTTTCTGTATTTTCTTACTCTGTGCTGAGCGTCTAAATTACTTGCTAAGTGCATAGCAGCATAGGTGTAGGATAAAGTTTAGTGAGTAAGAGATAATAAAGAAGAGAAATTGAAATTCATGAAAGGAATTGATTTATTGACAATTTCATACATTTCTTGCCTATTAATATACATTTTAAGTTGTTTTGCTTTATGAAGTTGTTCTCAGTGTTTAGCAATCTTGTACAAATTGTACATATACTGATGTCCCGTAGAAATTGCAGATATCTGTGATAATGAGATAGGTTGCTATCGTTGAATCTGAAAGCGAATGTCACTACCAGGAAGGCAATTTCCCTACCTTCGACATTAAGCATGGTATGAATTTCAGGCATGGAATCATTTTAAGTTTTTGGTCACTTCTGTTTATTTTTATTCGGAATAGAAGATACCTTTTTTTTTTTGGGGGGGGGGGGGG